TCCTGGCTGCTTCCCCTGATTTCCACAATCTTGCCCCAGCCTCCCTCCCTTGATGGGAAGCCCTAGAGTGGATTTGGAACTTTGGAATGCAGCCCAGGGCTCTCCGTGGGGGCAGTCAGCAGGTCAACGTAGAAATCACTTCCTTTGTAGAAAGAGTGACCGTTATGTCTGCTCCCAGAACGTATTTGGTGGCTGAATATCCATGGCTTTTTCAAGATCTTTCATTCTGTTGATAGAGGTTATTTCCTGAAACCAGATCTTTGCTCTCACAATTCTGATCGGTCTGATTACTGAATAGTCATTGTGAGGAGGCTACAGTGGGTGAACGAAGGCTAGATACAGTATTTTTTGATAGAAGCAAACCAAATGTAGGGAGTGGTCTGTAGATGCAATTAAGAAGCCTTTTACTGTAAGTACTGTCATCTTTTAGCTTCAGTTCTGTTTCCATGGCAACCAGATGGTTGGCAAGTGCCTGGCTGAATGGTTTTACAGGAAGCTGAAAAACATTGCTATTCTAAGCAGCTTGCTTTTTGCTGCAGAAAGGGATCCTACCCTTACTGTAGGCCCGCCAACATTTACTGGGAACAAAGCAGGCTATTTATGCTAATTGTATTCTGGGGACAGGGCAAAGAAATGGGGAGAGGAATTCAGCCCCTGCTTACTGGTCTGTGAATTTGTTTTTTGGGTTGTTGTTTCTAGCAGTTTGGAAGAACCAAATGACTTAACCTTTTCTTTATTTCAGATATGGTTTCCCTGTTTAAGCAGATCTTACATTCTAGAGATGGAACTGGTTAAAAAAAGAAGGAGGTAGTGAGTGGTAGGTGTCTGGGGTAATGTCAGTTATGGTGAAGTCAGTCTGCTGAGTTTCTAGCGTTCAAGTATGTACAAGGGCAGTCTGTTTTTTTTAAAGTGTCCCCTGCTAGCAACAGATAGATAATGGCTCAGCAGCTATTAGCCCTATCCTTGATTGTCCGTTAAAATTGTCATCTGGATTTTCTTTACATCTTAAAACACTGTACTTCTACTTACATGATAGAAAAATTATATACGGGAGAAAAGCCTTTGGGGGGCTTCAGAATTAAGAGCAGTTCCGTTTTGACAGTTTATGACTTATAATGTGACCATTTCTTAGGAAGAAACCATAAGGATATCAATGCAGGTCCGTCAAAAGCCGATACAATACTTTTAGTTTCAAATATAAGCCAATTAACAGGACTCCCTTTCTGAGCTCATTCAAATCCTCTTTAGAAGTGAGCTAGAAAATAGGAAAAAGATTTTTTTATTTGTTTAACTATTCTTCGGTAGAGACCACTCTTTAAAGATGAGTAGTGAAAGCATTTAATTTCAGTAGGATGTGTGGACTTTTGTTTTCAGTCAGTCTCTAGTTCTCGCTCACACAGACACAGTTAAAATGAAAGGAAATCCATAAAAAAATTCCAAGGTGTGCTTTGCATTCTTGATATCTATCACAACATTATTTTTTTTTCTATAAAATGTGGCCTTTGTTCTGTGAGATAGACGTTTCAAGAGTGCTAAGATTTTGACCCTGACTGTATTTAGATAAGCTGATGCCAGTTTGAACTAGTCTCTCACTGAGGTCCAGTAATGTTTCTTTTGCATTTTGATCAGGTCTTAGAAGTTTTCCACAAAACACAGTTGGAAAGTATCTCAGGAGCCTGTTGTTTAATGCAACCTTGAGTCTCTGAATAGCACCAAATGGAAGCTTGAATAGCAAATTGCGTTGCTTTGAATCCTCTCTATGAAATGTTCTAGTAGTAGATTTCACAGGTAATTTTTTTCTCAAATCACCCTGAAATAATGATGAAAGAAGTTTAATTCCCCAAAGGGCTTACACGATTTAAGATGAATTTTTAGGAAGTATTTTTAAGGTATCTTGAGCCAGAATTTGATCAAGTATTTGCTGAATAACTTCTAAAGGAGCCATAGGATTTGACTAGCTTGTTGAAGGAGTTCATAGATTATCCTGGCATAGAAAACCAGCAGTATGAACCCTAGAGCAAGGACTGCCTTGCATGGCAATGGGTTCATAGGAATTCACAGAAAGTGTGTGGAGGTAGCCTCTGGAGAGGGCTACCTAGAGGAAGTGGACTCAAAGCATTTTTTTTAATTCCACAAAAATGCATTGAACAAACCCTGTGTGCTAGGTGTCATGCACTCTGCTTCGAGTTATAGTGGTGAGCTAGACAGGGATCACCTGTATATGCAGCTCAGTGCGGTCAGCGTCTGGGCGCAGAACCTGGCAGTTACCTCAATGATGGTGTCTACGCTGGACAAATTACAGAGTTTTGCAGGAACACCTGGGTTTGGAGGGTGTGGAGATATTGTTGAAGATTCCGTTGAGGACATTTGATGCTGAACTTGAACAGAAATAAATCCCAACAGACATTGCTATTTACCCACTTGAAATAGTGTTTCTTTTTTCCCCCCCTTTCTCAAAAGTATACACTCCACTTTTCCAAAAGAAGTCTCCTAAAACATAAATATGTAAGCTTTTCTTAGAAACTAAAATTGGCTTCACAATTATGTAGGAAGAAGAGCTCTTAGAGAAATCCAACCTGCTTTATCATCAACTCCTTTATAACTCTGGAAAGGGAAAGAAATACAAGATTTCCAAAGAGCACCAGTGGGTCAGGAAGTGGAGACCCCCCTGGTTCAGAATGTAGTGTCTAGGGAGGAGGACCCTTCTGTGTCCTCTACCCCCCTTTTTAGGAAAGGGTTTATTATGCTCCTAGTATGTGCATAGTGTTTTTATTAGACCTCAAGCCTTTGTATCTGTTTCTGTATCCTTTAACAGAGACTGAACAGGGAAAGGAAAAAGAAAAGTGAGTGTGGCAATCTATTGCCAGTGAGCACTGAAATTATGGCTGCCACCTTTTCCCCCTGACCCAATTAATCTGTCTACTGAGGGACAGAAAAATTACTGTTGTTAGTGGCCCACATTCATCTGGAGAGCTTAGAGATGCTCGCAGAGATACATTATTTCTCAGTTGGATGTTTCCCCATTAGATCCTGCCGGTTGCTTTAATATTGCACTTTAGCAGAAATATCACTTCCCCCTCATTTGTGTAGCTGTCTTCTATAAGCCACATAACATCCATTATCCCTGAGGAGCTTCTTGCGTGGAAGAAGGAATTAGAAGCAAAGAGTAGGTCTACTAAGCTGATACCCTTTTCTTTACCCTTGCTAAGAATGGCTTTGAGACATTATTCATGGTACTGATATTTTTTTCTGAGTCAGATTTAGTGACATGGCCCATAACTCAAAGTTAAATTTCTTTAAAATTTTATGATAAAAAGGAACAAACAGACCACCAGAGTTAAAGAACAAGAAGTATTTTTTTTAAGATAGAAGTATTTAAGTGTCCAAATATAAGAAATATTCTATATGTATTGAGTATCTTCTTTTATGGGATACTATTTTCATTAAGTTCTTCTTTGTCCTTTTTCCCATAACAGGGGTTCTAGTGCAGCATTCTCCTAGTGTAACATTTTGAACTGTAATTATTAATGTTCTTGTCTGTCTCCACTGCGAGACTGTGTACTTCCTGTCTTCTGTTCAGGCCCCACATGCAGTTGGTACTTGATTAGAGCCAGAATGTGTGTATAGTAGTAAATCAGCCTGGCTTCCCTTGGCCAGAGAGTTAGCTGAGCTTATATTAGACCTTGGGCATTTTATTAGATGTCTCACTTTTAAAAGTATCAGCTGTTTGGAGCCACTGCTAGGAAAAATGAAATAGGTAGTCCCAAATGTTCGTAAACTGAGGACTGGATAAACAAAATGTATGTGTCCCTTTAACCGACTATTTATTTATTCATCCATAGAAAGGAATGAAGTACTGATATGTGCGACAACATAGGTGAACTTGTAAACATGCTAAGTGAGAGAAGCCGGTTGCAAAATGCTGTCTATTGTATGGCTTGATTAATGCAACATGTGCAGGGCAGGGAAATCCATGGACAGAAAGTATTTTGTGGGCACCCGGGGAAGAAGAGAGAGAGGCATGGGAAGTGACTGCTAATGGACATGGGATTGCTTTTTAGGTGGTGAGAATGCTCTAAAATAAATTGTGGTGATGGTTCCAGAACTGTAAATATACGCAAAATCATCACATTGTAAACTTTAAATGAGTGTATTGTATGGTGCATGCATTATATCAATAAAGTTGTTTAACAAAAAAGAACCACCGGCACGGTCCAGGTAGGGGACCCAGGGTCGTCTTGATGGGGCCGAGGCGGACGTACGCCAAAGACATGGCCGGGACAGCACTGGGGGGCGAGGTGGGTCCATCCTGGGTGCCCTGTGAAGGAGCGTCTTCTCGTCAGTGAAGGAAGCCCCTCGGTGCTGTGCGGTGACCCTGGTGCCTTTGAGAGACTGAGTAGGGCAATGGGACCTCCACTTACTTTCACACCTGTGAGACCAGCGATGCCTGAGGCTAGGGGAGAGGTGAGGACTGGAGGTGGCAAAGCCCTTTACTCTCCAGGTATCATGGTGCTGTGTTTGGGTCACCCACGTTTTACTTAATAACGACCCCAAGGCGCAAAAGTAGTGATGCCGGCAATCGGACATGCCAGAGAGAAGCCCCAGGTGCTTCCCTTAAGTGAACAGGTAGGCATTTATAGGAGGAACCACAGTGAACAGAGAGTTTGGCACCAAACTGACAGCAGAGACCATCCATCCAGCATTGCTGCCCATTAACCAGAAACCTGGAAAACATCACTTTCCCTTGTTGGGTATGCCCTTGACTTCAGGCACACCAGGAAGGTCAGTGCCGGCCTTGCGCACCCCCTTCTGTTGTCGTGAGGTCAGCGAGCACTCTGTGGAAGTGCTCTGTGAAGAGTAAAATGCTCAGAAATGTGATATTAAACAACTTTTCATTCCAGCTCCATGTTATAGGTGAGGCTTAAAAATGTACTTAATATTACTTTTAATTTCATTTTTAATGTTTCTAATTTATTTCTTGGATGTGATTTTTTTTTAAGGTTACTTGCCTGCAAGACTTTTTTGGTGATGATGATGTTTTTATTGCATGTGGACCTGAAAAATTCCGTTACGCCCAAGACGACTTTGTCCTGGACCACAGCGGTAAGGCCATCTTTGTAACCCGGAAACGAAGGCTGGGGTGTCATCTTTGAAAATCAATGGCATTGACTATAGTCTTTCTGAATTAATGGGACTAGAGGATAAAATGGAAGTAAAAAAAAAAAAAAACAACCCTGGTTCAGTAGTTAAGTAGTACTCACTTTTTATCGATTTTGTTCCCTTTTTTACTGCATTGTTTTGCTTCAGCAATGCATGTCCTGCCCTCTTTCAGAGTGCAGGCTGGCCGTGCCACCTTAATTGAATGGACAACTACAGTTGTACATTTTCCATGTCCCTAAGAGATACACGAAAGGGTAACAACAAAATCGTTGATAGTGATTATCTCCATTCTTTTTTTACCTTATTACTTTGTTTGCAACTTTAAAAATGCAATAACATGCATTGGTTATATATGCAGAAAAATAAGGCAATTTTCACTAATGGGTAGAATAATCTTTTTCCCTTCATCGTGCCAATATATGGAGTTTTCAACTATTTAGCAATAACCCTGGTAATTTCAAATGTTATTGTTTCTGGGAATATTGCTCTACTCTGTTGTCTTGAGTGAATTTAAACCTATTACAGTAATAGTGATTATTTTCACCGATAAAGTCAATTTCTTCTTTAATGGGATAAAATTCATACAGATACAACATCTCACAGAGAAGAGGGATATTAGAAATCCAATCTTACTCTTTAATTTCCTGAATGAAGAAAGTTAGTTTTTTCAAAATCAGACTGAAGGTAGACCCCTTCCAGTTGTCGTGATTCTGACAGTCCAGAATTAGAGAAACATATTGCTGAATACTTGTAAATACCATGACCCATTGACTTTTAAAAATTCAAGAGGGTCCATTCTATGGCACCAACTTCCCTGTGTAATTCTTTCCCATGACGCGAAATCAGCAGCCTTGGAGTAATTTATCTACGTTGCACTCGGGGTTCATTGACCTACTCTCTTTGGTTTTCACTGCTGCCAAGTTTCTCTGGGTGTGTCTGCACTGTCCCGCAGTCTGTTGGACTGGTTCTGCTTTAAACTGGTAACATCACTGGAAAGTCCTTTAAAGAGTTGCAGGTGGTGTCTTGTGTACTATCTGCGTGATGTTATTATCCCTGATTCTCATGAATGGTTAAGGTTGACTGAAACATGCATTTATGTATCACCTGTACTTTACATATTTCTTGGTTTCACTGTAAGTCCATTTCATAGTATTTCTTTGATGTCAATCTTGGTCATTTTGAAAGTTGAGACACTGAAATTTGGTGATATGTTCTACATTATAACGTTAATTTGGATCACAGGAGTGACAAAACATTTATTGAGCACTGACTGTGTACTCAGTTTACATGTATGTTGTGACCCTGCCTAAGCTAGTCGGGTCATGGGCAGTTTTCTGTTGTTGGCTGTGGAAGGACTTGTCAGAGACAGGCGAGAGCTGCTGCTTGCTTCCCTCTCAATCGCTAACTCCTTAACCATCTGCAAACGGGGGCTAATAATAGTGGCCTTTTCCTAAGATTCTGTGAAGATTAAACAAGTTAATATACATTAAGCAGAAGTGTACGTAGTTACAAGTATGTGCTATGGCTGTTGTTAATGTTACTATTATTCATAAAATCTTACAGTGAAAGCAGGTCTCCGACTTAATTCTGCCACAGGTACACGTAGGAGGCAACATTTTAAGTTAGTCATTTAACTCGTAATCTTGACAAAGTCCTGACTCTCACTCAGTCCTTTTAGGTTCCTGGAGACATCTTGCATTAAAGAGCCATTAAACTCAGTTCACCTAGTGTCAGCTGTCTCAGATCCTTCACCTGGGGCTGCAGGTCTGAAGTTCAAGTACTCGCTGCATAGGTTTAGCTGTTCCACTCTTCCAGAGCAGTGGCAGTGCCTTTGAGATGTTTCTAACTAACCCACACACCAAGGCTTTCAACAGTGGAATACTCAGTAACCCCCATAATGCCCGGCCCCCTCTGTGTGGGGTTCTGATTAGAGTCTTTCAAATGCTAACTGTGCTTCCTTGCTGTGTATTTTCCTCATTAGTGTACTTCACATGTTAATTTATTTACCCTGGGGGCATACACTAAAACAATCCACATTTTAATCTTCCTCCATAAATTGAAGTATTTTAATGTAAATTAAGCCTTAGAACAAGCCTATGAAGCAGATTTTATTCTTATTCCATTTTCACAGGGGAAACACTGAGGTTCCCAGCCTCAGCAAGGTCCCCTAGTTGACAAAGTCAAATCCGCAATTCATCCAAAATCTGCAAAGACTTTACAAAAGCCATGTTCTTCATTATTCAGATTAGAATTGCTTATCTTAGCTGTAATTAGTTCTGATACTCTAAATGCTGTTTGGCTATTTATGGGAAGACCAAAGGTACCGTTTAGTTTCCTAGGTTTTTGTGCTCGGCAATTTGGAAAGCCAGACAGTAAGATAGTAAGGGGTTCATAAATTAGAGCCCTGCATACCCTCCCACATGTGATAAAGATTTGGGAAGAATAACAAAAGTGTCGCCTTTGCCTATCAGTGCTACCGTCTTGAAAAGGTTGCACGTGTTTAGGATATGCGTGTACATCCAGTTAGGACACTGGGGTGTCCGCATCCATCTGGAACAGTGAGGTGAGGTCCCAGTTGTGTAGCCTCAGGTGTGCTCTAGGGATGGTGACAGAAGAATGACGAGGTAATGGTTCTGGGCAGTCGGCTAATTCTGCATGTGCTCTTCCTTCCTTCCTTGTGCTAGTGTGAAACCCAGATCTACTTAATGCACTCTCCTTCCTTTCTAGAATGCCGTGTCCTGAAGTCGTCTTATTCTCGCTCCCCAGCTAAGTATTCTGGATCCAAAAGCCCTGGGTTCTCTCGACGCAGCAAATCGCCAGCCTCAGGTAGTTCATGGAAAAGGAATGATGGTCACAGGAGGAACACACCATCCTCCTTTTGTTTCCTTTAATTACTGTGAATTTGCAGGCTTTCCATGGCTCGTGTGTGCAGCCAGGTTGCAGAACAGTGTGCAGATGACGTGATTTTTTTAAACCAAAAATTGAAGTCTGTTTCTCAACATTATAAGTCTTCTAAGAAACTAACTCATTTTGTTCGGACACTTTTTTGAGAACGATCTGATTATCTTAATTCTTCTGATATTTAACATGGAAATGCCTCACATATTGACCACTGTACTGCATTTTAATTTTTGTACAATGTGGTTGTGAATATTCTCTTATTTGTTTAAAACTTACACACACACCTAACATAATGTTATTTACTCAATAGATTTCCACAGGCTTTTCCTTCATCAAGCAATTTAATAGTAGCAACAATTATTCTTGAAAAGAAATACTTCACTTATTTAAGAGTCAAACTTAACTACAATTCAGTTTCTCTCAGGTCCTGTGAATTTGTCATGATTTGACCATTTTGACATTTAAAAAATATAAAAACATCCATAAACATCTTGATATGCCGCTCCTACCAGCTTTGTTTCTAGTTGAACTATGAACAACTTTGTAGATATTATTTCCCATTAAGGAAAAGATTGTGAAAAACCCGGATTTTACATGTGGGAAATCTAGCACACGTGAAAGTGGAATCCATAAAACGGTCTCAAGCATCACACTTTTTGTAAGACACTGCATTTGGGGGCCGTTCTCCTTCCCGCTGCTTCCCGGTCAGCACCCACCCACTGTCCCCAGGCCGGGTCATTTCACCCTTCTGTTTGTGTGCACGTTTAGACCTGCTGAATAACCGCTCTCCTTCCTGTCTCCTCCTCCTCCTCCTCCCCTGTGTGTACTGAATGTGCACAGTAAAGAGGGGTGGCCACTACCCCAGTGCCTACTCTACAGCCAGATCCCCAGGTGAGCCATGGTGCTTGTGGCTTTGTCACTCTGCTGGGTTTCTGTTGTCTTTTGCCACATTTCTGTTTCCTTTGCTCCATTTCCGTGACTGTATCTGGCTTGTACCCATGTGCATCTGTGCAGAATGAAATGCTTCACAACTCACAGGTGCTTCGGTCCCCCTTGCTTACCGGAGAACCAGTTGTCCGAAGACCGCATGGTACCTGTCGTGTGTAGTGGCAGCACCAAGTGATCGAGGGGGCGCATCGCCTCCAGGCATTTATTTTCCAGCTAAATTTGGGAAATATTTTATTATTGAAAGAGGCTCGAGTTTGTTGGTAATATGAAAATGCCCACAGATGCAATTGTACTCTTCTCTTCTCCCCTTCCTCCCCTCCCTGGGCTTCATAGGCCCAATGCTTTCTAGAAGTGTTGACAATATGAGTATTTTTAACTGAAAGCATATTTCTGCTGTTAGGCTTATGCTATGCTTTCTGTAAAGGATCACACACACTGGGGAAGCTAACGTAATATGAAATTTGCATAAATACACTGAACTGAGCTTACCATATGGAAGGTGAGCATTTTTTCGGGTTCTTAGCTTTTGTTTTAGTGATAGGTTTACAGATGCTATCATATAGTAAAATAACAATGAAAGTGGGGAGAGTGGTTCAAGAATCAGGTGTTATGGTGACTCCAGTTTTGTCTCCCTGAGGTCGAAAAAGAGACATTAACATACTGAACTCAAAACACGTTTTGTAGCCACATTCATCTCACAGACCAGCTGCTTCATGGCATAGCCTAATAAATGCATAAATCTTTTTTAACCGGAGCTTGGAATGCTTAGTAATTGATTCAAGGAAACCTTCGCATTCCAGTACCCCCAATCTTTAACTGAGTCCATATTTGGATTTGGGTCAATAGAACAGATCTTACATAAGTAAAAGTTGTGGGATGTTTAAATCACCTTTCAGAGGGCAGGCGGCTTGTTTGTAAGAGATTAACTCAAAAGTGTGTTCACTACACATAGCAGGTATGGAAAACCGAGAGCCAGTCGCTTGCTGGAACTCACTGTGATTCTGAAGAAAGTTACTGTACAGGGGTGAGCAAAAATAGGTTCACAGTTGTTTGTATGGGAAAGACATGCAGGCTATGACTCTTACAATAGCTTTATTAACTCCGTGTTTTGTGCACTCACAACGGTAAGCCCACTTCTGCCCGCCTCTGTGTGTATGCCCATGGTACTCTCTCTCCATTTCTGGCAAGGAGGGAGTTCTGTATCATTAAAAGCCACAGAACCCAGAGGTGTAACTTGGTTTTATAGACTGCGTTAGCTGTGGGCTACCTCTTAACATGTACAAAATTCCAGGGCACTAATTGAATTTCAAACAGAGCTGCAAACTTTATACATATAATAGTGTACTTTTTCAGTCTTGGGACAGAAATACTCCCGTAAGGAAAGTTGTCCAGTTGACTAAGTTCCTCATCGAAACTCCAATCAATTATAATCACTAAATAGTGTGAAATAAGCACATAGAAGTTAATCTGAGAGATGTAAGCAGGTAAATAGTAACCGTGACTGGAGTCTTAAAAATTCTCACTTTAGGTTTCTACCTTGGGATTCTTTTTCATAATCAACCAGTATTTTGAAAAGTTCTCAGAGCAAACAAGCAAACAGTGAAGTCCTCAAGCGTATTTCTTACCTTCCGGCTGAGGGGAGGCTGGATGAAAGCCTTTCTCTGGGAGAGAATGTCGGGGTGTGGTGAAGGGAGGGAGCAGCATGATGCTGGCTGGCCGCAGCGCGCCTCCCAGCCGGTGGCTGGTGGCCGCAGTGTCAGGGGAGAAGAAGGCGCTGTGTGGCTGCACCCCAGGTCCCATGGGCCCTCCCAAAGACTCGGGACAAATGTATAAAGAAATGATATTAAGGACTACTCATTAGAACACATCTTTCTAGAATCTTCCAAATGCCATCAGGAACTCAGAGGGCTACATGCGACTTAATCTCTCTGTAGGATGAGAGTTGTTTGGGGAAAAATAAGGACGTGTAGTTACCGACCCCGGTCAAGTCCCCAGCAGTGTGTTTTGTTAAGAAACTACAGGGAGACTGGTCTGCTACAGAGATCACCGTTCGCAGGAATTTGTTTTTCTCCTTTAGTCCCTTTTCTATCCCCATTCCAAGGAAGCCTTTGCTATCAGTGTGGTGTTGGAATAGTACTGAAAGCCAACGGCACTGATCGCAGAGAAACTGGTGACCTGTACAGATCACTGTATGGGATGGAGAAAGAAAGGTTTCAGCTGATGGCAAGTTTAAAAATCCATTTTTCATCATAATCTCTATTTTATGTGAATTCTTACTACCATTTTCCTTTAAAGAAACTTTTACAACTCTCTAACATTAATTGAAATTGAACTTAATTGATTTAAAAAGTCAGAGCTGTTAAATACTCTTTTTTTTTAATCCTCACCCAAGAACATGCCCGTTAATTTTAGAGAGCGTGGGAGAGAAGGGGAGAGAGAGAAGGAGGGCAACATGGATGTGAGAGAGAAACATTGATCGGTTGCCTCTTGCACGCGTCCTGACCGGGGACTGAACCGGGAACCTAGGCGCGTGCCCTGACCAGGACTCAAACCTGTGACCCTGTGGTTTAAAGGATGACACTCCAACCAACCGAGCCATGCTGGCCAGGAGACACGCTGTTGGGTACTCTGAAAAGTTTTCAATTAATTGGATAGTTACTTGTGTTATACTTTCACTCTGAATACCCACATATATTTGTTAAGAAAATGTAAATAACTGATCATTGTCTTGAGTAGTTTTAAATTAGAAAAGTGTTTAATGATTCAAAATTTTAAAAAAATTTCATCTTCATTTGGTAATTCAAAAATAAATAGACAAAAATTTTGTCTTCACTGAATTTTTAAAATGAGCGCTGCAATAAACAAGCACGACTTCGTAGACCCACATCAACCCCTGTGCGCACATGATTTATCGAATCACAAATACCAAATCCAGGACTTCTCCTCCACTCAGGGACTGGTGCTCACCCTTTGGAATCACCTAATAAGGACTTTTATGTCTGCATTTTGCTTTTTATACTTATTGGCATAATTTCAAATAATAGTTGTCTGTTCCATCCTATTAAAGAAAAGGAGGTGGACTTTGCTTTTCTTTCCATAGAGACAAATCTCAGGTTTCATCTTCTCTGGGCAAAAGCATTGAAGATTCGTGATAGAAGGGGTTATAAATATCTCTTAGAATAGGAAAAACTACACCAGTACTAGATGTTAAGTACCAGCTCTGGGACATTACAGCAGAAATGCATCCAGGAGATGCATTAGGAGCATGCGAGAGTCACGCTGAACTGGTTGGCCAGCGTTTCGTAGTCCGAATCTGCAGCTGCCCTCCCCCTGCAGACTGCGGTGGCCAGACTCTGTCCAACAGAGTCTCTCAGTTGAGCTTTTGACCCATGAAGCTTGAGCTTTTGAGCCTCTCAGTTGAGCTTTTGACCTATGTGGAAGCTTGGAGGAGGGCGTGTAAAAAACCACCAAGATTTGTTAAAGAATAAGGACACGAATCTGTGAAGAAAAGATCATAGAAGGAATTAGAAATAACTAGTCTCGATAAAAAAGTTGAAGAGTATCTTACATGGCCTCCACACAAGTAGATATTACAAGGAAAATGACCCATAATTTTTCCTCTCCATTAAGAATGCACTTAGAAAATGTGTTTGCATTATGGTGGAACTGATTTGGGAGAGCCGTAGAATGTCATGGTGATTCAGGTTGGTGTACACCAGGACGGTGTGCATGGGAGGTTATGAGACAGTCTTCGTAGCACCGCGTTGCAAAGATAGCAGCCGTTCACTTCCCTACCCTTGCTGGCAGGCAGGACAGATGGACAAGTTCTTACTCACATCTTGAGTTCCGTAATGTTATATACCTTTGTTTTTGTCACTGTTGGGAAGCTATTATCAAAAATAATCCTAGGTTCACTCCCTATGTGTCTAATACTTTGTCTGTAATACAATAAGCTACATTATTTTTGCTCGTTGCTGGTTTGCCATCTGCTTTGAGCTTTAAATGAAGCTTCATGCATGTGCTTATTATTCACTCACAACCTGGCCGTCCTGAGCTTTAATGACCTCTGCCTCCTCTGTTGTCTCCTGGTCAGTTAACGGAACTCCGAGCAGCCAGCTCTCCACTCCTAAGTCCACGAAATCCTCCAGTTCCTCTCCAACGAGCCCAGGGAGTTTCAGAGGACTAAAGGTATGAAATAGCTCATGTGGCGTGTTTGTGTGATTTTGTTATTTTGAGTTCAGAGTTTAGTAGTTTAATTTGTTCAGGGGCTTGGATGCAGTAACAAATCAAGCAGGAAAGAGGTCAGGATTTGGAGCCAGAAAGACAGGGCTTTGGACCCTGTATCCTGTTTTGCTTTGTAATGTTGCCCAGCTCACTTGCTGAGCTCTTCTGAGCGGAACTGTTCCAGTCTCTAAAATGGGAATATCGGGTTGTGGTTAGGATCTAGTATAACGTGGTAAAATACTGTTGGTAGTAGTTTTCCTGTTGTCAGCAAAATGACTGGCAATGATGAAGCCTTGGAGAACTCTTATGATTCCTCTTAAAAATCTTATTTTGAGTCACGACTTTAATTTGACTTCATAATTTGACTTTGTGAAAGTGCAAAATAGCAAAATACTAGTGTAACACTTACATACACAAGTAGTCACACAAGAACAATATGCTCACTTTGGTGAAGAACTTAGATAAACGTTAGGGCTTGAATGTGATGTGCTTATAGAAATTTAACAGACTTGCCGGCTGGTTTAACAGGCATTTTATCTAATAGGAAGGATGATGAGCGAAGCCAAATTTGAAAACTTTCAACTAACTTAATTTGACATAACAGCTCTTGATATGTTAAGTTTACAAGAGCAAATGTTCCTGGCAAAATGGCAGTGAAGTGCTGAGGCTCAAGACGGACCGTCTGCTTCTGTAGGCACAATCAGGCAGAAGGACGCACTGTGCCGTGCACACATGTGTGTTGGGCTCATTAACTTGCGCTTTCCTGGCGCGCTTGGTGGACAGTGGCGATACCTTCACTAGGAATACATTCTCCAAAGTTCGTTGGTATTATCTGAGTCCTTTTCTTTACCTTAAGGATGCTGAAAAATATTTTTCCTTAGTGAGACACATGGTAAGTGCTCCCCCCACCCCCACCCACCTTTGCATGAATGAGGAGCGAGAACCTGCCAAGCCCGGCATCCTGACCCCTGGCGAGCATGAGGTGGGTGGTCCCCCACTTCTCAAAGGGTTTCGTTCTCCACCCAGCTCTGAGGTTTGCTCGTCCTGCCCCGAGAATGTTGTGTCTCCCCCAGAGAGCACGTGCACAGTTCTCATCTGAGTGCCTGAAATCATAAAAATTTCCTCGGGAAAAAGACTATATTTTGTTCTTCTTGCCTATGTAGGTGGCAGGATCTGGATTGAGGCTGGGTGGTGGGGGTGGGGGGAAATGGGGACAACTGTGATAGTGTCAACAATAACAGTGAAGTTAAAAATAAATAAGTAAAAACCCCTGCTCCTTTAGGATAAGGATAAATACGTGTTACCTGCTTGGGACTCCTCTTGATTAAACAGACTTGGGATTTAAAGTGCCCAGCTCTCACCCACCTCCGAGTGCTGGAAGCTCCTTGTATTTATGTCAGACAGGCATTTCCTGAAGTGCCACGTTGCCTTAGGTCAGTCCATAGTAGGATTTCAATGGAACTCTTCACTGTCAATTCCCCCCCCAAAAAGTTATATAAATTAAAATTCACTCATATAAGCTAAGTATTTTCAGCATTTTCCTCCCAACTTATTTTCCCCGAAATAGATCAAAGGTGCACTGTTTTTAGTTTGAGTAACTTTCAAGAGAACCCAAGTAAAAATAATTCAAGTTACTTTGTAATCGAACACAGGTCTAGCTGCCTGCTGCTTTGAAAGCCGACACCTGAAAGTCAGGTGCTGGTGTAAAGGAAAGTTTATTCAAGCACTGGCCCCTGAGAAGGTGGAGGACTCCTGTCTCAAAGCCCATCTTCACATTTCAGTCCAGGCAGAGGTTGTTATAAGGTCAGAGAGGGGAGGCAGAACCAGGAAATCAAGGAAGGGGGTTGATAAGTTCTCTACGTGCAGACAAGCACAGTCCGTTCCAATAAGGCAAGTGGTGGCTGGGTTTGCATCTCCCTGGTTTAGTCATCCTGGCTCCACAGTTAAAGGTCAGCCAATCTCCCAGAGCGGGAATGCCTGGAGGTAGGCGTCTGTATCTTTTGAAGTTAGTTCCTAGGATTCTTACACAAATGTGTTTATATGTAAGCAAATGTATTAGAGCCAGCATTTACAGAAACACTGTCAAAAGAATGGTAGGGTGGGTTACACTTCCTCAGAGTTACAGAGTCACCTCCTTTTTAGTTTTAGTTGCTTCATCGTCTGTTAAAGCAAAAGCAGGTGGCTGCTAATGCTGGTTATTGTTAACCCAACATTGCAAACCCACTATGAGCTTTCCAGGGAGCCACACGCAAAGGTCACTGGGATCTTCCCCCAGGCTGTTGCTCCAGGCGGGGCTGGGAGCCTTGACCTAGGGCTGCAAGTGGTCTTCTAGGCTGGCACTTCGGTATCTGCTTACCCAGGGTTGTGGTCATTTCCCCCTTTTTTGTTGTCCATCGGTAACCTGGGCACCCATCTTTCTTCCTAGTCCGTGTTCAACTCCAGACTCAATATGGTCCTTTCTCGTTGACGCACTAGGGGCTGCTTAGGCTCAGAGTGCACACCCACCCTCTCACACATGCGTGCAACCCCCCACAAGATCTCTTGCATTTCTGTACTAAAGATTCATGAAATTTTAAAAATGTGATCATTTGTATGATTGCTGAGACCTTGCATTATTCTTCTATGTGAGGTGTGTCTTAGTATAGTAACCTTAGCATTTAGCACACAGTAAATTCTGAAGGGTCATGTATTGATGTCAAAAATGACAAAGAGCAATGCTGATTACTGGAAGCAAAATGAAATTATCAGTAAGATAAAGAGTAGTGATCCTTCCAGGACCCTCAGTGGAGGGCTGTGGGTTTTGCTAACAACTATGACACCTCTGGGTTGTTGTTTTTTTTCTCCTCATCTATAAAATAAGGATGTTTGATTTTAAATGACCTCTAAAAATGCTAGGATTATAGTTATTTTAAGTTGCAAAGAACCCCTATCTGGGAGGCTGGGGGGTCTATTTCTCTTCTCCCTTTAAAGCTGATGTAGCATCTCTGAATTTTACATTAAATATTAGCAACTAAACGAGTACCTGCCACACTGATCAGCTTTGAGGACACAGTGTGAAACCTCTCTACCCCTTCCTACTCCCATGGGTCACACCTGGTGGAAATTTCATCTTCTTACAGTTCCCAGCAATCGGTGGTGTGTACCGCCTTTGAAATACTGCAACTTAGTCATGTTACTTACTGTACAAAATAACCCTAATTTCAATGTCATTGTAAAGCTCTCATCAGCATCTGTCCACATTTGCATTATTTCCTCTATTCAGCGACATTGCAAATGGAGAATTACAGATAATTACCATGTGTTAGTGCTATGGTTTTTCCTTCCCCTTCATTTAAAATAGCTTATTAAGATCAATTAAGAGGGAATGTCTGACAATGGAGGACTGTTTTTCATGGGCAGGAACTTTTACCACTATTTATCCTCATTAGAAGCTTAATGGCTTTGGGGAGAGATCATCTTTTCCCAGAGAATCAGGGAGTTGACAAAAGCAAGCACGCTAAGCCGGGAGGGCCTGTGCGGGAGGAGTAGACGGGGCTGCCTCTCATCTGCCAGGACCCAGCTTCGGGCAGATGGGTCTTGTTGCTTTCGGTCTGGGTTTTACTGAGGAGGGGATTAAGCAGACAAGTCAGAGGTAAGCAGCATTTGATGGGCTGTCACCATTGACCCCGTCTTTGTGCCAGTTTCTGGGAATCATTCTGGTGTTTCGGTGGGAACTTTGCAAGAGCTGAAAATGCAAAGAGACCGATGTTGTAATGTCTCATCTCTGGCCGCAGAGTGTCCACCGTGTGTCTGTGTGCTCAGTGAAAAAGACAAGAAATACAAAAGCAGCCCCCTTTCCAACTAGCTCTCACGGTTTTCTCAGTCATGTCCTCAAGAGGAAGACCCTGCTGCTCCGTTTGCCTGCACTCATAACAGCATCGTGCTCGCTGAGGGGCTGCACCGGGGTCAGGAGAGGAAGCAAAGCTTTCTTCACATTGTGACTAGTTTTTGCAGGATGGGAGTGTGAGAAATAGGGTGGGGACCAAGTAATCAAGGTTCTCTAAACCTAAACCTGAGCGACTTTTGGAGCATTCAGAGTGAATCGTACCTCAGCTATAATGTTTTACTTTTGTTGGATAGTTGCCTAAAACCATTGAATGTGAAGCTTGGAGGTGGTCTCAGAACACTTTAGTGTTCATTTTATGGTTGGGGAAACTGAGGTTCAGAGCTGTGATCTGCTGAAGGTCCCAATGGCCAGCTGGGAACTCTGGGCCTTTCAGGGTCTGTGTCTCTGACCTCTGACTTACCCAGCTTTCGCTGGCGGGTCTGCTCCAGTGACTGCAGCCAGGCGTCCCAGGAGGAAGCGTGTGCAGTTGTTACGGAAAAGCTGTGCTGTGTCAGTCTTTCAGGGGGAAGAGCGCTGAAGGGGGTTGGTTTGCTGAGTTCCCGGGTCTGAGTCTGCACAAAGGCTCTGAGCGAACAAGGGTTGAGAGGCTAGCAAAAGAACGAGGAGGGGAGGGTGGGGAAAAGGGAGAAGCAACCCTGGGGGTGTAGGGGAGGCTGGATGCAGGGGGTGGAAAGGTAGAGAACGCCTGCTGATCGCTCTTCGTGGGAGAATGGGGGGAGGAGATTGCTAACAGGGACCCAATGAAAGCTCTTTTCAAGTGAAATGGTCAGTCCGTACTGTGTGCCCAGCACTTCTGCCTGACCCTATAAAGCTTTAGTAAGATGACAAAGGTCACGGTAGGTGAGGGTTATTGGTTTTCTTTTGAAGCTAGTAATGGACTTGAGTATTGTCAAGATTCGGCATAGGTAGGAAACAGTAGTCCAGGCCCAGCAAATGCCTGGGTCCGTGGGCATGAGATCGTGTTACATGTGGGCCTGTAATGGGAGCCCTCTTGTGAGGAGTATGGTGGCACCACTGGGGTTTGAAAGCAGAGCCGAGGCTCATAATTGTTACTGGCCTCCGAGGCCAGCCTGTGCAA